CCCCAAAGAGTCGTGTCTTATTTCTTTCATTTTTGTAGTACTGGGCATTGAACCCAGGGCTTTTGCACTAAACTACATTTCTAGCTCCGTTTTAATTTGATTTCGAGATAAGGTCTTACTGAACTGCCTGTGCTGAGCTCAAACTTGAAATTCTCCTACCTCAGACTTGCACAGTGCCAGCATCACAGGCGTGTTTCACAGTATCTTATCTAAGTCTATGGATTTTCAGCGCATCTTCTCAGCCTGGAAGCATTCATGAACTTTGAGTCATCTCTAGGGAGCAAAAAGCAGCCACTACTTCCTCCAGAGAGACTGGAGACAATCCCTTAACAATAGCTGGGTTTCATGTCAGTTATCACATACAAAAACACGTATTGGAAAACATTAAGAGCTATACAGTTGCAACGTATTGTTATTTTGTTATTATTCAGAGGCATAGTCCAACATTCTAAGCAAGCATTCTTAGGAATTATTTAAGCTCACCTGTCTTTATAATCCACATCAGTAACTAGAATCAAGTTCTCCCAGATCATTCTCTTTCAGGGATGGAAGAGAAGTGCCTTGTATGTCACCACTTATTCCCTCCCAATGATGCCAGCAATTGACAATTGATCATAACACTCTTGCACTGGGCCTGAATGAAGCCTTTTGATTTATTTGTTCAACGAATATTATGAGTTCTGTCTTAGTCTGTTTTCTGTTGCTACAGTAGAATACTATAGACTAGATAATTTATAGAGAAAAGAGGTTTATTTAACTCATAGTTCTATAAGGCAGGGAAATTTAAGATCAGTCTGTTACATCTGATGAGGGAAAACTTCATGTGTTATCCTAATGAAACAGATGGCATCATACAGAGCAGTCCCTGGGTTCACAAACAGCTCATTCCACAATTCTGGAAAAGATGGTCATGTTTACGTTCGTGTGGAAAAGATGGCTGCCGTCATGTTCCTCACACAATATAGAGTTCCAAACAAACGCAAAGTTTTGCCAAATGCTTCTGTTTGTGAATCAAATTGTTCTCAAACAAAAGTGTCTGTGAACGGAGGCACCATTGTAGTGGGGGTGCTTATAAGAGTGGCAAATGGGCACGTGCAGAAGAGGGCACATGAATTTGAGAGAGGGATGGAATCAGGCTCACATTATAACAACATGCGCGTCCTATAAGGAATCCAGCCCCAGGATGGCATTAATCCATTAATGAGGACTCCGTCCCTGGGATTCAGATGTCTCTTAAAGACCCTACTACCTCTCAAAACTACTGTACTGGAGACTAAGGCTGGGCATGAGTTTTGGTAGGAAAAAACCATATTTAAATCATAGCAAGCATCCCTTAAAATCTAGCTGGAAAGACAAATAAATTATAAAATCCACAGGAATCACATTGCTAACTACCAGAAAAAGATAAATAGACAATAAGTATTATAGCCTAACCCTGTCTTCTGAAATATATTTTCACTTTATTTCTTAGGACTCTGAAAATTAATTTTTAAATTTTCAGTACTCTTGTAACTACAGCAGCACAATTATTTTTCTTGGATCTGAATTAATTCCAAAAGGAGCTTAAAAAGTACTATGGAATATGCAGATACTTCTGTATGCCACCCATCAAGAAAATGAATTGAGTATGTTTTAAACTGCTAGGTTCCTCTCCCACAAGTACCTCTCCGAGCAAAGAGAAAAATCCAGAGAGGAATGGATCTGATTGCCGTTTAGGTTTAAGTACATTGCATACCAATTCAGCATCAAATTATTCAATCAGGCACACATTGAAAATGCTAAAGAAGTGGGTTTTCCAGTTTTCCTATATAGATAGGAATAGATATATACTGTGTATATAGATATATACTGCAGGACTTTTTTTTTCACTTAGGTAGTCTTGGGAACATGTATGGAGCCTGTAGAAAAAGGCTTACTTGATACGTAAGAGGATAGCGACGACCAGGCGGACACTGAGGAGGGCTGGCACTCATTAACTTTCCCTATTAGAAACTCACCTGGATTTGTTTTCACAGACCTTTGATGAGGCTTGGTTGTGAGGCACCTGAGCGAGGAGAGAATCTCAGACTTACTCGAGGCTGGCTACTCAAGTGCAGTGCAAGAGCCCTGGATCTGTGCCCTGTGGGATTTTAGCCACAGCTTTTGAGAGTACAAATCAAAGAGGAGATGAAAGTGAAGAGGGCTGACAAGTGATCCAGAAACAGACAGATCAAAAGAGTGGCAGTGGGGCAGGTCTGTTTTAGATACTTAGATTAGGAACCAGCTCTTATTCAAAGCAGTCCCCTGCCCAATCTCATATACCACAAAATACCTTGCGTGTATTGAAAACATAGGCAGGTCTTATTCCTGTAAATCCCTGGGACTGCTGGATGTTTCAGTGACCAGGATTTTAGACGACATCTTAATCTTTGGGTCCTTGACTCATATCTTTCCAGGTCTTTGAGGCTCCCAGTAGTCTACAGCTACAGTATTTTCTCTTTTTCTTCTGAGGCACTTCTGGAAAACTCAGGGTCTTTGAGTTCACTGCTTTAGATCTCTTTCTGTCTCAGGTTTGGGATTTATAGCATCTTGTCCAGGCTTATCTACCCAGCCCGGATCTTTGGGGGAGGAATGATGACTTCTTTCCATCAATGTTTGGCAGACCTTTCTTTGTGTGCAGCAGTCCTTAGTATACCTGCAGAATTAAGCTCCTATGATTCAAGCCTTCATAAGTTCTCCTACCCTCTCCCCTTTGTGATACATTTCCCTTCTGTGAATGGATTTGTTATTTGCACAGAAGAAACATTTTGAGTTATTTGATTACTTTCACCCCAAGTCTTGATGGCATACCTTTCCTGTTTGATTTATCCTTGGAATATTTCTGTTTTTATTCCCTTCAGATCTGTACTTGCAGGGTTTGGCAAGAGGTCAGAAGAGTTCTTATTCCTATTTCTATCTTTTAAAGGACTAGTGTTCCAGGATCACAGGCCTACAGAGCAGCAGTGAACAATAACAAGGCTGCGGGAATAGCTGACATTTCCCTTGCTGTCCGGCTGTGCCTTGCATTGAATTAAACAGGGGCACTTGTAATGCAGATTGTAGAGGACTCTCTAGCCCTAGGCCCAGACATGGGAATTTAGCCATCGGAATGATGTTCTTTTATGCAAAAGAATATAGAAGCCTGAGCCTAGAGACTCCAGATGAGTTCGATGACCACCTACTGTGAGCCCGGTAATATGCAGGTGACATCTCAAAAGATCCCTTGTTGCAGAATGCTTTCAGGCAAGCTTCCCACTGCTTGCTGTTTGAGTGAGGGGCTAGAAAAAGAAAGGCTGAGGAAGTGAGGATGTTGAGACCCACTTGTAGTTCATGACACGTAGTATAATGCTTCCTTTGCATCAGACTGCACCCACCTTCTGGAAGAGACAATTCTGAGAAAATTTGCCTAGTTGTTTGGTATCGACAGCTAATTTGTGAGCTTGGTTCTGGATGAGGAGAGAAGCTAGGATATTCCCAGGTCTTAGGTGGGTAAGGGCACCACTGAGTACGTTCTTCCGTCCTCACTCAGCATATAGCCACATGCTGGTGAGAGTGAGCAGCACAGAAAAGTGGTCCCCACACTGTGAAGGAAACCCTGAACTTCATCCTGTGGCTTCCCACACCTCCCGTGGGACAGAACGTGCAGCCACTCTGATTGCCACACGCTGAGCGGTAGGATCAGACCTCACCTTGTTGTCTGCAGTTCGAAGGGCTGCCTCTTACCTCCTGGACACTGATTCATGACCGTGACGTGTGCTATTTGTCTGGCTCTCTGCAGCACACATCTTTATTACCTTTGCAATTGCAGGAACTCCTCATTATCTCTTGTTCCAATCCCATCTGTGTAGCTACTTGAAGCTGATGGATGTAAACAGAATATCATTTGTGACTGTGCCGCACATAAACACTGACACACAAACACTTACTTCTGACATACTTAAAAGATTCCTAAACATCTGAAGGCTCTTTGACATTCTCTGAAACGCTATTCTGTACTACTGCAAGGTCTTGTTATACACACTGAAAGCCAAGATACGTGTCTTTCTTTTTTACCTTCACTTTATAAGAGGTTATGCTGACGTAGATATTCCTAGCAAAGAGTATTTCTGACGAAGTCGGGATAAATAATTCCGCACATCATCAAGTGGAGAGAAAGGCTTTGAATTGGTTTCCATGGAAATCTGAAGATGAAGTAAAGTAGCAATTTTAAGGCAGAGCAGCTGAATTGAAGATAATGGTCAAATAGTTTGAGAAAGGAAATAGAATAAAGTAATCAAGCAGACTCCAATCAATTATTCCTTTTTGTTTACCTTGAAGTGATTAATTTGAGTATGTGTATTAACCTGATGAGATTAAGCAGAACTTCCTTCTGATTTATTCCGTAATTGTTTCCAAGGTTTGACATAAACTGTGGAGTTATTGAAGGTGGAGATTTAAATTGAATTACTCACGAAGCAGGTGGTGCTTCTCCTTAAAGAATATCTGAATTCATAGCCTTCCTATGTAACACTATGAGTGAATATTATTAATCCATCTGATAGTATCTCCAAAAGACTTTTAGAAGTCATTTGGCATCCATATACCTACATACATTTGCAGCTTCCAAACTGAACTTGTAACTCAAAAATAGAATGGCTGGAAATAAGAGATTTTATGTTAAAGACTAGTTATTTTCCTACCATCGTTCTTCACTAGAGCCATCCTTGAGGTTTAGGCTGTAGTACTATTACTTATTGAATCCACCAACTCAAGATTTGAACATATACAGGTTCTTTTCTTTGACCTTGGGGAGTAATTACCACTGTCTTTATCTGAAAAAACACGATTGGATAAAATCATAATAGAGAGAGAGAGAGAAAGAGAGAGAGAAAACTTAAAATATTTAAATGAAAAAACTGAAATGACTTGTTTTTGTCTCTGTGGTCTATATATATATATATATTTTTTTTTTTGGTTTTTTTCTATTCTTTCTGTGGGTATAGTAAGGATAGACGGGGTTCTCCAAACACTAACCCAGGTGCCAACTCTCCATCCACAAAGGCCCGGAACACATCTAAAAGTGGGAAGTAAGTGAAAAGTGCTCATATGCATCTTACATGATCATGAAGCCATGTGTTGTCCTCATTTTGTCATTCATTCATATCCATTCAGTAAAAGTGTGGGGTGCCATCTGTGTGCCTCATACTGGGCTGGTCATGGAGGAACTGAAGTGAGTAATGCATGAACCAGTAATATTGGATGTATGAAGGACGAAGTAAGGAGGGAGGGAGGAAGAGGAAGGACAAGGAATGACTTTGGAAAGATAGTGTAGAGAACGTGAGGGGTACAAACAGCAGCTCAGAAAGGCAGGGCAGGATTTGGACTGAGTTTTGAAAATTAAAGAAGCAATACTGGTTAATCACTTTATGATTTGCAAAATCCATGCAAACCTGTCTTCATTTCACATATTGAGATTTAAGCTTCAGTTAGAAGACTCTGAAAGGCCATACCATAAATTTCCAGGTTCAGGAACTTTATATTTTCACCATATCACTGATTTGCACAGCATGCATATTCTTTCCCTAGTAACTAAGTAACTAGCATGTACCTTGTCCTATATGAAACTATGTTTTTGGTATTGCTGAAACTTGTATTGGGCAAATGTTTGCTATGGTAGATTTGGTTCTTTGGGCTTCTTCCAGAAAGTGACATTGGCTGATCTCTCCTTTTGGATTCAGCAGAGCATAGCAATCTGAAGCAGCATATTTCCCCACAGATGATGCCTCCAGTTAGGCATTAACCCTTTAAAGTAGCGGCAACCCTCTTGTGAATGACTCAGGTCCTGTGTGCTCTCTTCCCTGGGGTGTGGGGCTCTGTGGCAGGCAGAAATCCACCCAGCCTGCATCTAGGAGAAGATGAAAGATGCCTTCATCATGCTAAAAGCTCTAATCGAGCAATAAGATATGTCACTGCAAAAGCATGGCTTTGCAATGAAAGTTGAATTTGTAATGGTCATATATTTTATGTATTCAGCATTGGACCATAAATGCTGCACTTTGAACATGAGCTGATAATCAATTCCCAAAGAGAAAGATCTATTGACTGCCTTTTTCTCTTTTCCTCCTCCTCCAGAATATAATTTCAGATTTGCACATAAAGTTGAATGCGGGCTGTCTTAGAGAATAGAAAAAGTGGTGGTGAAGACATAAGACCAAATTTCTGAGCAGTTAGAACTTGTTTCAGTTATTTATTGCTGAGCACCACAGTCAAAATGCTGTCTAAATTATGAAGGAAGAGAATTGATGCTCACATCCCCAAGCAGCTGATGGTTTCCAAATTAGTCCCAATTCATTGCAAGTACACACTCGTCAGTTCCCAGAGATGGCATTGGACAGCCACTTTTTAGCACCATTCTTGTAGAAACGACAGTTCCTGTTGGATGGCTTGTGCACACCTGTCACATCGACAGCTTCAGGGTTCAAACTCCTTTTATTAGGCCGTGATGTACAATTATGGATGTTTGTGATTTGCTATTGGATTTCAAAAGTTTTGTTTTGTTTCATTGGGCTTTGCAGGAACCCCGTCTTTTTACCTTTAAAGTAAAGAATCTCAGTGTGAGCCACAAAGCAGCAATTGGTAGACTCTGAGTTAAGATGACGGAGAATGCACACCTCATGTTGTACCCAGGTTGTTCACTGTAGGAGGCCTGAATAAATACATTCTTAAGTGGATCCAGTGATCTTATTTCACACTGGCTATATTTGGACACATCCAAGCTTCTGCTGCGGTGAGGGCCTCCAACTTCACGCATTTGGGACTAGGTGTATTTTGCTTGACATGTGTAGTGACTCACAGATTAAGCTAGTTGTTTTTAACTCATTACTGTGGTTATTTGTGTAAAAGGAAACACTTTCCAATATCCCCTTTGTGGGTGCATGTCTGTGTCAGATTCCCTTCTATTCTGCCCCTTCCCTTCCTTGTCTCCCATTGGTTTTCCAGACATGTTTTCTTTTGTGGCTGTTCTGTCACAGCACAGTTTCTCTTTTTTGGGCTATCTTTGTCATCAGGAGCAGTACCGCCCTTCCATCGCTACAGTGAGACTATCAGGGACATTTTTCACCCTTCACAGAACTGTGTCTATCAAAGTGTAAGCACTGTGTTATATAGTTCAGAGAAAGTTGTTCGATATAATTAGTTCCTGCTGCACTGACTGTGCCCATCTTTTTGGTGTGTGTGGTAGCAAGCAACCGCCAGCAGAGAGGGTGCCTTTCCACCAGGCTTTCTCATATTATTTGACCTGCTGACAGCAGGATACAGAGCAGACTTTAAGTGTTTCTCTGTGCTATTTTGAGGCAAGGTACAGGTTGGGAGCTAGAAGGAGTTTTCTCCTTTGAAAAGAAGTGAGGTCTCTACTTCTTTGAGGAAACAAAAACAATACACAACCCAAACTGCTTCAAGAATGCTCTGTGGATAAAAATATTGACAACTAATATGTTTTGAGTGACAACCTGAGCACTGAGAATTTAGCACATTTCTTCCTCCTTAATCCTTAGCCACAAAAAGCTCAGGAAATCTGTCCTTTATTTCACACCCGAAGAAGATGAGACTCAGAGAAGATAATAGTGTTTCCATTTGGGGTCTCTAAGTGAACGTTTTGGTAAAACCCTTCTTTAGCACCAATATTAGGAATAATAAATATATATTGAGCAACTACTTTATGCCTTTGTGCTACATAGGTGAATATAAAGAAACAACAGATAAAGATACACAAGTAGATAAATATAACGTACAATCAGTGCCCTCAAGGAGCTCACTGTCTTAGGAAGGGAGACCTAGGATGATGACATGGCACTGGAGTCACAGTAGTTACCTATAACCAATGACAATGTTAGATTGGGAAGAGGTCATGTTGTGTATCAGTGACAGCATCTGAGAAGTGACTTCTGAACCCTTCTATGTTTTCCTAGCAAGGCTAGGTCGAGGAGGAAAATTCAAGGTGGTCACTCAGGGGGGTAGAATCCCCTGTTATATCGCTCAGACCGAGTTGACACAGTGGATTAGGTCAAAGCTAATCATGAATGGCCAATGCCAGCTTTTTCTGACATTCACTTGGAGCCGACTGAGGGATTCAGTGCAGCATGCTGTGTAGCTCAGGAAACCTGCAGCTTGGAAGTGATGTCAGTTCTGCTTACTCTGTTTCATTGCCTGGATATGAAGCTGGGTAGCCAACCCCCTGTTTCAGGGAGGAACAGATGGACTGGGATGTGTCTAAGCACCAGAGCCAGACTGCACTGGCAATGACTTGCAGGGAGGTGCAAGCAGTTTCTTCTGTGTTGATGGTGAGCCAAATTGACACGATAGGAAAAACAAAAAACAAAAAACAAAAAACATCAGCGCGGAGCCATAGCACAGATGTCAGGAAACAGAGGGATGTCTTGTGGAGGTGTTGCAGAGGTTGACTATGACTGTCCAGGCCCGGCCACTGTGCTGAGCCTCACATAGGGCCCCCGTTGGTAATGTGAACCCATATTCTGGCGAACACAGTGGGCCACAGCCAATCCACTGACTGGCCCAGCGGATCAAATACAGAAAGCACTGAAACTACTAAGGCTGAGCATGTGTGGTTGCCACAAATAGCCTTTAATGTGTTTGTTTTATATCAACATATTTTCATAATTTACATGACACCACTTCTTTTGGTGAACAGATAAGGACTCTAAGACTCAGGAAGCGTAAATCATTTTCCCAGGGTCACATAACTCATTCCTGGTGGACAGCAGCAAAGAATCCTGATCGGTAATACTTGTCCAACCTCTTTGTACAACACCAAATATTACAATTCTTCTCCTAGGGAGCAACATACTTCCACTAATCACAGCCATTGGAGGCCAAGTATCAGGCCACTTGCCTGGGTAGGCCCTGCCAGCTATTGTGAGAACAAAGACTTCAGAAACATTAGAATCATCCTACTTTTAAAAAAAACTGTGGTACTGTCAGTCATTAAACAAGCACTTCTCAAATGCTTCATTTTCTCTAAAATAATACCACTCTGTATGGGTTCGTAGTCACCCTTTCTTAACATGATTATTGAGCTATTTAGAAGCTGAAACGAACCCTTTCCACACTGAAGTAATAGAGACAATGCTTAGATAACAACAGCTATTCTCCCTCAAATCAGCCAACCGAGGCTGAACATATAGCTATGTCTGTATAGAGATACAGACAAACACGTACCTACAGAGGCTCTTTAACTTAGAATGGGGTTATATCCCGATAAATTCATTGTAAAATGAAATATTGTAAATACATTTAATATACCTAATGTAAGATACATGATATAATACATATTATAAAATTTATGATATATAAATTACATATATGTATATTCAGAGGTATCCATTTAAAATTTTGATCACAGGCACTGGAGGTGATGATGGGAATCAGTCACTCATCTCAGCCTGAGACCTTCTTTTAGATAGTCTCAGGCTACGAGATAGGAAGGACCAAGTCCAGTTTTCAAATATTAGTGAAGCTCATGAATGGGACAGCACTAGGGCAGAGCTTCCAGGTACAGTGCTGGTGAGTGACACCATCAGTGTTAATTTTAATACTGTAAATATTAACCTAAATGAATTCTACCAAGGCAGAGCAAAGATACTAAGCTGGAGGAAAACAGAGATGATGAGATGACCAAGTAAATTCTTGCTCACTTCACAAATCTCCCTGGGGCTCACCCCAGTATGAGGTGCCACACAGGAAGACTGGTACCAACATGCCTTTAGCAAATGTGTCTCACAGCAGACGGACCACTTCATCTGTTCAGCAGTGTCTAGATGAGCAGAGAGAGGAGCACACATCACATAAAAAAACAAAACCTATCAACACCCCTTTGGTTTTGGTTGGCAGGAACCAAATGAAAACCTTATCCTGTTGTAGAAGAAAGAAGTAAAGTGTTCCTTGCTCTGTGTGGACTCAGCATGGCGCAGTTTTAAGTTTGATTTAACTGTTCGTATGTTCATTGCAGGAGTCAAGAATCCTGCATATTGTATAGTGGTCATCATTTCCTCTAGTTAAAAGCCACGTATTT